ATCATGCCTGATACCTGAGAGTACGCCACTGTATATGCTGCCTCATTCCACTAGGGACAAGACCCACCGCCGGTTGAATGCCTACGGAAACAGGTGCGGCATATTGCGTACATTGTGTGAGACCGACCTTTGACGTCTCGCTCGTCTTGCTTGTCTGCTCACTAGGGTACAGCATGGGGATGTGCGAAATGGCGGTGTGAGTACGACCCCCCCCCCTCGAAGAGGGTCCAGTTACGACCCCCCCCTCCTGCTCTAACTGACAACCAGATGCATGTTCACCACAAATGGCTTCCTGAAATGGAATCTGGATTTTCGAAAGGCGGACTCTGCTCTAAAATCCAGGCAATAAAGGCTGTTTCAGCCTCATGCAATATGAGGCTGAACAACAGCCTCGCATTACCTACAATTTTGTCTTAGGATTCAAAATAAAACTCGTCGTTCGACAACCATGTATGACATGCAACTTGTAACAAGGAACACAATCGAAACAGCGACTAATGGTGATCATTAATAATAAATTGGTGAAAAAAAGCCCCAAGATCAGCGTGTCAGGTGTGCATTCAATGAATGGTGACGGGGAAATCATGAAAACATGCACGACACAACAAAGCGAAACATGAAAAATACAAAAAAATGCGGAGCCAAATGAAAAAAATGGATAACCAGGCGGCAGTATATCGTTCTATACTTGGCTATTATCGATCGCAACGTTGCGACCGCTTTCATTGGAAAAACGTCATTGGAGCGCGGTTGTTGGGCCTGCCAACGTCCTGGGGTCTTTTCGGGGGTTATATCTCTTTGAGGGGCGCGGCTTTTGATGAATGGTTAGCAGCATGCAACGGGAATGTTTGTTGCGTTTTCTACCCAGTTGCAATCTGAATGTTTCCCCGTTCGTGAAATATTTCGGATGGGTTTCGGATCGGCTAGGGGTAAATGGCAAGCGGGTTTTTATGCTTCACACGAGGATTACTTATTTCGAACGCAATTTCATCAGGATTAAAATCGTCTTGAAACCGCCCTATCTTTTCTCTTTCCAATAAGCTTTACAGTTTTCCTGAAGACCCGCTAGTTCAGGAGATATTTTAGATGGGTCACAGACGCGCTACCCTCTGACCCACCCGAAAAATCGACTCCTTCTGTGCCATTGTGAGGATACACCTTCGGAAACTTCAGTGCGCCTTCAAAACACATATTTCCCTTCAAATGAGTGAAAGAGGAGCTCGGCTATCACTGATCGATTTGGCCCGAGTGTGCGCCGTGCATTACGCTCCTACGCAGAGGTGGTGGAAAGGTGTAAATTCTGATTTCAGGTGCTTTTATCCATGCAAGCAGATGTTTGTTTAGGGTTTGGAAAGGACAATACGCACGAATCTGTTTGAGACGTATTATTTAGTCATCTACGTACTTACGAGTTCATGCTATTAACTGATATTTATTTATTTATTCTTGCTATATTGCTAATCAATTTTATTATTTTGTAGTCCTCCTTACATCCGGGTCTTCTGCAGCTTTCCGTCTTCCATCAAACTTAGCAATGACACTTTTGTACTGTTTGATGCCTAGCGAGCCTACTTTTGCGATACTCCCCACGTCCCCCGCGGCCAAGTACGAACCCATTTTTGGGGATTTCGCATGAAAAGAGGGCTGTTAAACGTAGCAGTTAAATCTGTAAAGAATACACTCATAATAATTTTCATTTTTTAACATCTTGACTTCCATAGCTCCACTCCCACTATCAACTGAAATGTCGAAGCATTGCCCGGCTCTGAGTGACCCTTGAGATTACGACCCCCCCAGCGGCCAAGTACGACCCCCCCCCTATGGGTTTCGCACAACGATGCTGTACCCTGCTACCCACTCTATCATCTTCTGTGTCTGGGCGTCGTCTCTGCAAGCCTCGTCTCTCGCTGCGATGCTTATTTTCTTTGCATACTCCATAGGACCAGGATCCATGTTTCCACCTTCCCACCTTTCGGTACTTTTCAGGAAGTCGATCAGCATTCTCGAACTGAATAGTGGGCTTCGGTTTGTGCTAAAGCCCACGAACTGCAATCATGGAATTTTCCCTGAACCAGCAGTAGTATTCCTTAGCCCGTGCGCACTACAGAAATGTGGAAATGATCGGGTTCTTTCAAAAAAGATCGTCCGATCAAATACAGCTCCACTGGAGCGGGTTCACCACGATGGTGTGCCATGTTTCTCAAGTCGGCATCGGTGCCCGCTTCTTTTCTTTACTCCTTCGTCTTTGATCTCGCCATTCTTAGTATCCAGGGTATAGCATCGGGTCGGCGTAAGTAGCAATGTCACTTACAATCCCCGCCCTCCACAAACTTCCTTTGCCAACGCCCCCTATCCATTCTACCTACCATCTTCTCAAGCTATCCGAGTCCCTATTAAAGTTCCCAGTTCTGCAAAAATATTGCAGCTTCCCCAAGAAAGCTGGCGTCGAAGACTAGTGGAGGGTCGAATAGTAGTGGAGGGCGAGATAAGGAACGAGAAGGTGTTCCTCAATCAAACGCCGAAAGAATGATAGTTGTATAGTAATTTTGCGGCGCTGTAACCAAGGACTGGGAAGTTTGTACTCGTTCACCGAAGTACAAGAGAAGAGCCTGCCTAGATATTCTTTGATGATTCCTTTTGCTTCACTCTTCATTTGAAAATCACTTCGCACTTGCAAACTTGTACTTGAGCACCAAGAAGTGCACCTTGAAATTGCTAAATGTGCCTGTAAGCAGTATTGACTCTAAAGGACCAGAGCTACTCGCAAGTTTCACAGTGAGTTTAGGATGGTAGCATTTGCGATTTTTCACGTTTCTGCGACAAGAAACCCTGTGCAAGAATTTCGGCAACTTCTTGCTCTCAGTGTGTGATAAGTGAAGGATCGACGACAGCGTTGGCATGTGTCGGCTGACGCGCTCGCCCACACCAACTTGTTGATTTGTGGGCCACATTACGGGTTGCGGGTTATGAGCTTGTTGTGCCACGAAAAAAGGATCAATTCCTTCTCAGAACCAGAAAGAGGAAAATTCCATGAAAATACCTTACATTGTAAGATTTTAATCAAATAAATGCTGAATACTAACCTCTTCCAAAGCCAACACAAGGCTCTTGGCAAGCCGTGCATAGAACACGTTCTCTTCCTCGTATTTCAATGTTTGACACACATCGACCATTTCAAAAATATACACAAACACCGATACACCAGTAAAGAAGAAATATCCATAAGCGGCAATCACTGCTACTCTACTATGAAAGTTCCCGAGGAATTCAGCAATCCTGCAAAATATTTCTTCGAATTTAATAATGACATTCTCAACCCCTTCAGTGCAATGGTGCTACATTGCACTATTCGAGAGATCTACGTGGGTGGGCCATGGTCAGATAACTCACGAATTAACGTGTCACGCCCATCGAGAATTCTCTGCAACACAGCCCTCCAGCAAGATGCAATAGCAATGGAGAAATGAGAGTCGTTAGGCGGTCTTTCTCCAATTGAGCGGACAGTTTACGAACATTTCGCTAATAAAGAAATCTTGCATGTGGAAGCAACTGCGGAACAGAAACGAGTTTTGCATTCGAATCCATGAGCCATGAATACTGACCAGCTTATAAGCTTTCCCGAGAGGAAGAAGTGGAAGTAGTCGCTAGGCCTAAAGGGTTGAATGGGACGAGCAACTGTCTTGAGTGATGCTGAACTACTCACTTAAAGGCACACCTCGTGATCACCAAAGTAGTCTGATCTCCTTACTAATTGGGTAACATGACTATGCAATTATCAAGGGTTTCCTCATTTCGCGTAGAGATAGCGCGCAGGAGCGAGCACCAAGCTCAAAATTTAGGCCCGCGAACCCATGCGGACGTGTTTCCGATGTGCATGTGTCGGCATGCTCTGTTCTCTCTCTCTCTCTTTCACTCTCTGGCAGTTTGTCTAGTCTTTTGCTCGCACAGCGCGGTCTCGCTTGGGATTTTCGCACATTGTTCGAAATCGGAGCGGTAGTATTTAGGGCGTTTCAAGATTTTCTCTGCTCTTTTGTTGTTTCTTGAAGTACGAAGCACCTCATTAGAACCTACGAAGTTGGAATTACTAAACATACTGTTAGACTTCTATGAAGCCATTTGAGATACAACGGGGTTGCTTTGGGAGCCTACATTGCTTGTTCTCTGATTGTACTAGTCTGTTCTGTGCATTTTCTCATTCGCCCGCCCCGGTGGCTTGAGACTCGTGCATCATTTTTATCTATTACCTGAGATAAATCAGCTCATCTCCTCACCCGCACAAGAAAAGTGGTAATGGATTGGATGCAAGAAAAAAAGCACAGAGAAATGCCATCAATTTTGAATAAAGCTGTTTTGTAAGACGAATGGGACCCGAACTGCATAATTAAGCTCTTTTGTAGTGTCAGGTCCTTCCTCAGCAACAAATAGAACTTGAATTCAATCATTGAACAAATTTGTTGCCCCCTTCCCATGCTGGGAGATGGGATCTTCTTAGATCCCATCACCTTGTACAATCATTATCCACACTATCAAGAGGAGTGTGAAGGGAAGTGGGAGCGCAAGCAGCGTTTTCCACCAATCACCGTCGGCTCAGGAGTCCACGTCCCCTCATACACCCTCTTGTTCGTAAGGATAGCGAGTGTAGGCGCTGTTTGTCGACGGGGGGGGGGGCATTTTGCACTTTACGACTTCCCATCGACGTGTCGACCTATCTAGACAGCCTCTTCTCGAGTTGACAGGTTTTACCATGATGGCTTGACGAGCTTGCTCCAGCTTCACAAGAGTTCACAGGTTTCACCAGAGTGAGACTTGTAAACCAGAACTAGTGAAGCAAGTGCAGTGCGCCTCCCAGTCGGCAAACTGCGCCGTAACTGTGTTTACTTGTTCCAGTTATGAAATGAGTACTACTAGCAGTGAGTACCTAGCACTTCTATCGAAGATCTAGCCGGAAACAGGCTAGCCAGCCTGATAACTAGATTCGTTAAACTGCTACTTTTGGTATACTTGCTGTCATTTTTACTTTTTTTTGAGCAATCTCTGACCACGAAAAAAAGCAAAAAAGGTAAACCAACCTGCTGCACACCAGAAAATCGGCCATTAAGTCTAGGGTGGACGCTAGCAAGGTGACCACAGGCCACAACCATCACTGGAGGTGCCCATTCTAGACCTCCGCTGAAACAAACTCATGTCGTGTGATGACAACGCCCTAACAAAATTAGTAGTTGCTTGTTTGCTTGTTCAATTTTTATTCAATCAGACTGTCCTGTCAATGATTTTTTTAACATTTATTTTATACCAGGCTATTCTTTTACTTACACCCGACGGTTTACTGGAAATCTTAACAAAAATAGATTCAAGAAGAAAGTAAAGCTCGTTCTGCAGTCAGAATTTCACTGCTTTTTCATCACGAAAGGACCAAACGAGTCTTTATGGCGCATATAGAGGTATGAGAATATTTAC